CATATACCAAATATACTGATCAATATGCCAGAGAATTTGATGCTAAGTCCATTCAAAATACATTTTCTGCAGATCGAAGCCGTTCAGCGACCGACGTTTGACATAAGCGTGGTGGGATACGCCGTGCTCAACCTCTTTATAGATGCGCGTGACCAATCTCTACGGGCGCAACCCATAAGTCGCCACAATAGAGATTATGTGCTGAATCAGGGAGGCATTCAAGTACCACTGCACATCAGCGCACCTCCAAGGTCCAAGCCACTCAGATGGGATAGTTTGGAGAGCTCTCCGAGACTATCGTGTGCATCTGTGCTTGTCAGAATTTTGCCCAAGGAATCGTGGAAGGCGCAAAGGTAAAGTGTGAGTTGCAATTGCCCCATTACCAGCTTGCGCAATTTGCGTTGATAGGCGATGGCAAAATTGCTCCAAAAGTATCGACACTGGAAAAAAATACAGGGCTAGGCAGGCAGCCCATTTTCCATTTATTGGAAGCAAAAAGTACTGATGCAATCTTAGCTGATTGCTGAAGCACAGGTGGTGTTTCCACCTTGTGATTTGATCCATCGGCACCCAGCCACCATGGCGCAAGATGAACCGTATGGAGGCATTCACCAGGAATCCGTGCGTAACGAGCGGTGTGAATACACTCATGGCTGCTTTTTCCCTTCGCATATTTCTGCATGGCAAAGGATCCTACTGTGTGCATTGGGGTGCACACGTTCCCCAAAACAGCCAGATCTACCCGCAATGTCTGGCTAGGTGCGGACATGGGGAAAACAACAAGAATGCAGAGTCACACAGATCTGCGTTTTTGATCAGTACTTGGCCAAGCACTGACCGTTGATGAATACCCATGGGTATTCGCCAACTTACACTGCCCTCCCGCGTTCCGGGCTTATATTTTTAGGCAACCCTGGAGTGAGCTGAGTGGACACGCTTGTAGCTTGGCAAATTTAGTGCACTTTCCGTCTCTATTTTATCTACCAGGCGCCAAAAGCCTCCCGACTACAACGACAGATCTTACGACAGCACAAGGGCCATCCCCACCAACACAGAGACCAAGCTCTACGCGAAGCGCCTCATAAGATCGCCACTTCCAATCCGTGAGGCGGCGAGGCTCGTGGCAGAGCACGATGCCTCCCCGAGCCAGCTCCAATCCACGGGTAGAAAATGGTCCCTGCCGTTCAGCAAAGAACTCCCGAACAAGCTTGTCAGCAGCCCCAAGGGTGGGCAAAAAAAGCCGGGAATCGCCACCAAGATCAAGCAGAAGTTTGGGCTGCTGAAGAAGAAGAAAGTCATTGATGATGCGGATGACGGGGAATTGGATCCCGACGACGCTGCCGTCGAGGAAGACAATGAGGGCGGTGCGGCGACAGAAGCCGAGGAAAGGACCGCATTGCCGGACAACGACCCGGAGCTCGCAGATTGGATCAGAAAGCGCTTGAAGAGGCCAGCAGATTGGAAGCCAACAAGTTTGGATTACAACAGAGGTGAACTGATTTTGCTCCAACACATCCCGCTGTCGGTTTTCAAAACTGAAAGATCTTGCGATGCATAAGAGCTTGGAAATGAACCCAACTGTACCTCGCCGCCCACAAAACACATGCTGTAGGGAGCAACTGACATTGAGGGCGGTAAACGGAGCCGCCACAGCGTCTGAGAGGGCACAGTCTGTTGATACTCTGGGATTGATGCCTGTTGGGAAGTACTGCCAGTGTCGTATCGATGACCCACCGCAACATCTATGTTCACTTTATCAACACTCATTCAACTTTTCGATCGATTGACCAACCAACCAATCTAGCAACATCTACACAAGGCGAAAAGCGGTACCCTCTCAATACGACCATACAAAAGCCTAGGGGAGTGAGAACAGTGCAGACGCAGCGTTGTGTGCCTCTCGCAGCCGCCGCTTTCATTCCCGAGGTTGGGTTCTGTGTGTCGGTGGACGGGTGCTCGCGCCTGAAGAGAGCGCTGCCTCACGCCGCCTTGAGCTCCATATCACCCCCAGCGGCATTCTACCAGGACAGTCCAACGGTCGAAGGCGTCAAAGTGACGCTGGAGTACGAGCTTTCGGCCTGCCTGGCGTCTCCAAGATGGATGGACGGATACCAGTACTTCAGGAACATCCCTTACGATCCGGCTCTGTGCGTCATCATCGACGTGAGGTGAGCAGGGAGGCGCTCGTTCCTAATTGTCATGCAACGGCGGGCATGCCCGCCGTTGCATGACAACAGGAATAGACCATTAGTCATTCGCGGAAAGCACATGTCACAGGACGGTTCTCAGCACTGCCCAGTACATGGGCAGCAGTGGCGAGTTCGAAATTCAGCTGTTGCCGAATTGAAGAGAGGAGAAGCAGATGTGCAGCTGAGATCCCACACATAAAGCAGGGCGGCTACATGTGCCAATCAAGACAGTAGATTTTGGACGGGAGGCTGCTTCAGTGGGGATTGTTCGATACCTATCATTACCTACATAATTCATGAAGGTCATGAACAGGTCATGAAGGTGACGCAGGGAACTAGTGACCTAAACTTAAACACCCCAAGCCAGACAATGACCTTGATGGCTCCATCCCCGGAAATGAAAGGGAATCAGACGTTTGCGACTGCAATACAGATTCTGCAACGTGAGGGTTAATCAAATCAGGTTTGATAATGTGCAAGAATGATCTACAGTTCCCTGAGCAGCGAAGGGTTGTCACATCCTGGCGAACAGTGCGGCGGTGGCAATACCACATTGGAAAATTGCCCTGTGTTTTTTTTGGCATTCCTTCCATGATATGCGAGCCGCACTGGGATGTGCACTCTCCACCGCTTTGAGCAATGCCCCAGGCTCAGCTATCCCATTCATTCCGCCTTGAATGCGTGGCGCGACTGCATCTCCACTGCATGGATGCATCGACTACAGCGCGGCAAACCCGCTACGCGCCACTCACTGCCATGACTTGGTGACGCGGTCATAGGTCGGTTGTTCCCACGAGCGGAACGACGGCTCCCGTCGGCTGGGTCTGCTTGCCAGTCTTCGAAACGGGTGTGCCGTATGTGGCCTCCGGATACTACCACCTGCCGCTCTTGCATGGCGTCCCCCATGGATACGTGCTCAAGGAGATGGCGAACGTCGGGGACCCTGATGCCGTCATTCTGCAAATGCTGAAGGTAAAGCCGTCGCCATTCGGCTCGTCCGAACTTTGAAATATTGTGCCACACAATAGAAACCCAAACCTCCAAACCTCCGGGAGCCCCCCTCCATGGGACACGTAATTGGAATCCTCGAAAATTGGGATTTGGAACTGAGCCCCTCCTGATCAGCAGACTTCATCCTTATTCAGCCAAACTCAAATTCCTCAACCGCATCGATAGTAGCAAGCACTCCGCTTGACGGCAGATGACGGTCGCAACTTCACATGCACTGGGTAAACATTTGGCAGTGTGGGAACAGGCGTCACAACGATCTGGCCCTCCTGTGTAAGGAACCATGTTATGTCGATTTTTTGTCATGCTTAGAGTCAAACCGTCGTTGCGCTCAGACCCCCGGTCTCCAGATTTGATCCTTGTGTACGGCTCAGCAGCGCGACTTAATAACGTGCGGAAACATTCCAGCTCCGAAGCAAGAGCGCTGGGACGCTGTGCAGAACGCGGAAAGGCCTTCAAAGAAGCAAAAGCAGGCAGCGTTGCAGGGACCCTAGAGGGGTGAAAATGGGATGTTTGAAGTGACAGCAGACGAGGAGGCTGCCAACTTAGGTGTCCCCTAGGATTTCAGCTTGAGGGAGGTTACCGTTTATCAAGATATGGCTTGCTGCTGCTAATCAGCGGCACGCTTCCACCCGTGCAGGACAGCAAGGAAACTATGTCATTGGCACGGCATTGTGACTAAGGCGGCGGGCTCGCCGTGCTCCCCATCCAGGTACCACACGAGCACGGCGCCCTTCTGGGGGGAACTAACACACCTCACATTTTCCTGTTTGTGAAGGTTGGCCGCATCAGATTCGTGACAGACAGTTCGGCTGTCTACGTTCGCCTACTGGACGGACAAAGAAAGGGACAATTGATGTCACCCTCCTTCAAAGCCGCAGACCTCCGCCTTCCAGCTTACATGTCAGAGTTTCCAAAGGTCGCCTCAGAAATGAAGAAGACCACCCGGAACAGGACATACGCGCAGATGAAACCAAAGACCAAGTCCGAGGACGCATGGATAGATGAAATAAATGACATTGTCATCCAGTCTGCCGGTTTGGATGGCGACCCGCAGCGTTCAAGAACGCCGACCTCTGCAAGCACAAGATGAACTCGATGTACCCCAATTCGAATGCTCAGCGACTGTTGAAGTTTAGTTCATTGAAGTTGTTGCCTTCCAGGGAAGCTCGCATTCTTTAACAATTGATCTGTTGAAGGACGTGCCCCAACTTGTGGTCGCAACCAATTACGTGACTCACAGGTCCTTTTGTCACTTTATGGCACGGTATCCAAATGCTGTATCCTATCCGTGGGAGTCGCATATACCAAGGAGGTCCTCTGGATCTTCAAGCGCAGTGTGGGTGAGTTGAGGTACAGACGTGCAAAAGACAGCTGCGCACACACATCCTTGGAACAATTGTCATTCCACACTCCGGACACAGAGAATCTCGGGCAACTTCGATAGCATGATCTGCAATCATTTGAGCAACAAGATCTGAATCCACTTCTGAAATATGTACAATGACACAAATGTAGCACTCCATGCACCTGCATCTCGGCATGTACATGCACAATCCATGCTCATAACTACCCCCCAAAGCAAACATCAAAGCCTCAGCGCCACTGACTACTAATAACAACATTATTCAATGTGCAGAGTCTGATGCCACCATCAGCAGCCTGATCAACATCAAGAGAGTGTTCATCTATTGTTGATTACAAGGGCAAACTGTCCACGCTGAACAACACTGCCTCACAGCTTTGCTGTCCCCCTCCCCTTCCTTGCCTTCTAATATGCTAAAGGCAATGATCATGGCGTGATCATGGCTGCTTCATTTCTCCGCGTGTTTTTAGTGTCAAAAGAACCAACTGGGAAATGGGAATAAACTGGGGCGGTATGGCTTTCGTATCTGCGGCGACTCCGCCTGAAGCCCCTGACCAATGGGCACAAATGAACAGTCAATACAGAAGACGAACAATGAGAAGACTAGGCATGGCAGCAAGAGCCCAACTGAGGACAAGATCGAGCCAGCATGACCTTATGGCAAGTCGTGAAGGACGCAAGCCTTGGGCATGCGTGCAGTCCCGTATCAGAAACAACAGACAACAAACTGGTCCTTTGACAGGTCGGATCACAGGCACTTTGAATGGTGTGGCCATTCTAGGAGACCCAGGTGTACAAGAGGACAATGACCAGTGCAAAAATGGCAACACACCAACCTCTTGTAGCCAGGGCCCGGTCGAATTTGACCAACGACTGTTCCTCTCCTGTCAATTGCCCATCTATGGTCTTCTGAACGATGCTCAACAGCCAACCATCGTTTTCAGACTTTGGACGAAGATCCATGCAGTCAGACACTGCATCTCCTCTACCTTCACGCATCAGAAGAGTTTGCAGAGTAATGTACACCTGCATAATGGCATGGCAGGCTTCTGCCTTCATACAGGTCATGAATGGCACATTCCTTGTAGTTGGGGGACTCTCCATGCTTTGAACTTCATGTCGAACATGGCAGCTGCTGTGAAATTAACAACTGTTGCCAGAACGCACCACATCGAGCCATTGGCGCCTGTACTGCAGCTCTGACGAGGTCAAACGATAGCCGGCCAGGTCTGCAGCCATTTCGCTATCGTTGCTGTACTGTTTGCAGCAAAAATGCAACTATGTTAGGTCATGAAAAAGGTGGAATAAAGAATGTCAGCACAGCCAAAGAGCAAGCATATTGGTTGTCCCAAGGGGACCCAGAACGTGAACCATGTTTTTGGGAAGGCTGTAGATGCATTGTCAATTTGTCGTGAACCATGTTTTGAGGAAGGCTGTAGATACATTGTCAATCTGTTGTTGGCTGTGCCCTTTTGGCAAGCGTGCATTTTGTCGGGCTACTGTCCACCAAGGGCGCAGTGCTCTCTAATGTCGTGGCTTGAACGTTTTGAGGTTTGTTTTCAGGGTGGACGCTGGATCTAGATGCGCCGGATCGCTTGCATTCTTATCTTGCTTCCGTGCAGAAAAGAAGCTGGGACCTGGGTCCCAGTTTCACCACTGCCAAGGCAATCAACGGGCCCCCTCCACCGCCACAGATCGCCGATGCGCCCCTTACCTCCAGCTGGAGCAGCAGCCTATCCAACGAGTACTTCGCTTCGAAGCACTCCGCAGCCGCCCTGACAAAATCCGCGAGCGCCGCGGCGGCCGGTCGACCGGCGTTTTCAATGCACGACTGCGGCCACACCCTTGGCAGGTCAACGTCACTCACTTTCCCCATTCCGCGGGTATGAACGACCGTGCAGTTTGGGAACGAATCGAGGAATGGCTCATTGGCGGGTGCCGACGTTACAGACCGAGCAAACCGGTCGCCTTGCATGTGCCGCTGACTTGCCATTCAGTCGTCAACAACTGCAACGCCACTCGCAAGGTCTCCTCCGCTCAGGGAGCGCCACGTTGAGCTGTCCAGAGCCCATCGGCTGTCGTATATATGTGCTCAGGGCCTGGGGCAAGGTGGGGTTCGGCTCCCAGCAACAAGGGCCCCAATGTTGCTGGCCATTCGGGCCCAACGCAGGAATGCCTGGCAGCGGAAAGTGCACACACCTCATAGTACGCCATGTCGATGCGCTGAACAGCCGCCGTGAGGGGCGTCCTTTCCGGCATATCCTCCCCTCCGACAGACGCCCGCGTTCGAAATGCATCTCCCCGATGCCAAGCGCGCGGGAGGGGATGGCCCAACCGAAAATGACGTTGAGGGGCCCCGGAGGGAGGATGCGAGTCAGAGCCACGCGAGGTGGCCAAGGAGTAAGCAGAGGGGTCCGAGCGCGTGCGGGCTGACCACATTTTGGCCTCCGGAGGCGGACTGAGCGCTCGGCCTGCTCTCAACACCACCGCCGTGGTGGAGCGCCGGTGGGCGAATCTGTTGACGTTTTGGAGCCCGCTGCCCAATGTACCCAGGGGAGCGAATGTTCCCCGCCATTGCTGAATTAGACGTATGGACCTGACCACCAGGTATCGCTGCTGTGCCTTGGGTTCTCGTCGAACAAGCATTGACGCTTCTTGCCCAGGGCAAAATGTCGAGCTGACGACTGCCTCCTAGCCTTGATCTGCAGTACTTCTTGATTGGTTGATCGAAAGAAATGCATCTACAGCCGCTAGTGCCCATATTCCGTCAGGGACTTGATGGGCTTCGCGACCTCAACGCCGAGTTCACGTCGCATGCGTGTCTGGCAGGGTCCAGCATCCAATGTATGGACGACAAACATGCACCAACCAACCTTCCTCTGCCAATATGGGAGACACATGTGTATGCAACACAATGCGATCTGGCATCAAATGATGGACTGTTTCTAGCCTCTTTTATCTGATTGTCAGCTGCGTCAATAAGTGGATACTGGCAGCCTCTTCCATCTTTTTACACAAGTGTAGCAGCACACTTGGTTAGCCGTCATAAAAAATTGCAGATCCTTGGGTGCCTGTAAGGATCAAAGAATCTATCCCAATTCTATCCTCTAAATGTCCACCCCTCGATACAATCTAATCTGCACACTGCTCTCAAGAAACCTTGGCTCGTGTGATGTCCACCAACAGCAGCAGCTGCCGCCACACTTCAGCCGACGATGAACTGACACTCAGCCAATCGTCTTCCATCCCCACCATGGTGAGGCCTCCGTCTTTCAAGGCCTTCTTTACAGCCTCCTCTCTTATGCGTGGCAGCTCCTCAGCAACCTCTGGCTTACCCTTCAGCCGCTCAACCAAGTCCATGGCCTCCGGGCTTCCAGATGCTTTACGCAGGCTGTTTGCGACAAAGTCGGACAGCCTGGTGACCTCCATTGCAGTGGAGGCACCTGTTGCATCGTCCGAAACAGATGCCCACGCCCATCCTGTTGCAGATGCAGCCAATGGGTGGGTGACGCCCAGCTGTGCCAGTGTCATGAAGACGATGCTCACCCACCTGAAACAACACGCATGACACGCAAGCCCTGAGTCCATGCCAGCGACCCTCACTGATGACTAGCAGGAGTGTTGGGGTTTTGCACACTTAGGAGGAGACCATGCAGATCAGCAACTCCACCGAACCCAGCATAATCCAAATCTCCTGACAAAGTGCAAACACTGAAACGCGCAGCAAGTCACTGATGCACTGTTGGGCAGATGCTCACCAGACCTGTACAGCATGCCACAAAGTCAGTTGCACTGGTTGCAAGAGAAACAGCAGTTGGTCAACTAACATGCATGCACAGCTGACTTCAATGCGCGCACCTTCCAAACAATTCTCTGCTGACGCTATACCCTCCCCCTGGCCCGGGGTCCATGACTGGGAGCAGTCCCCCACTCTGATTGAACTCCTCCTCGCTAAGGCCCTCCAGCACTTGGCTGGCAGTGCATCCTTGCTTGTAAATGTGAATCAAGTCATCCACCAGGGCATTTAAGGATAGGAGGGAGCCAAAACCAGCCCCTCCCACAAAACATATCAACAGCCTCACAGATGTGCCCCGACTCAAGCACTTGTCTCCATCATCTTGTTGTTCACATAGCACACGACTGTTTTGTTGGAATGACTGTGGATAATCCAGAGGTAACAGCCCACTGTTGGGGGCGTCCCCTTGTGCACTCATCACCCCTGCATCTGCAGATGGCGCTTTCAATCCCTCCCTTTCTGTTTCTTGACTATCACTGGCAGGGGCGGCAGTTGGGGTGCTCTGTGCAGACACCGGCTCCAGCTCTATGTCAGCTCCCAGGCCAAGGCATTTCAGGACCTCGATGGTCAGCACGATGAGAAGGTTGTTCTGCTGCATGAGCCGTGCAGATGGAGACCTTCCAGCCTGCCAGCGGGAAACCAATGTTTGAGTCCTCAGATCTCCAGTTGACTTATATCCCATGCCTGGTCGAGGTAGGCACGAGCGCCTCCAGCCACTGTTGACAGGCCATTTGGCTTGGTTGATGCTGGGCAAGAACAAAAAGCGCAGATTTCCACACATGAAAATCCCTGCATTCATGTCAATAACTCATACATAACAACAGGCATCCCCAGTGGTGGCAATGTTCAGGGAAAACTCACAGCTGCAGTGGGAAAACTCACAGCTGCAGTGGGAAAACTCACAGCTGCAGGAACACAAGCCTAAACCCCGCCCACCCACCAACCCCAATCACAATTTGTCTTGATGTATTCCAAACAGGTATCCATTTCAACAACAGGACATCCCACCAGTGAAACCCTCCTAGCGTCTTTCTCCATACCCCAACACTAAATGCGAGGTAAAATTTGCCACAGTTGACAAATCTGCCAAAAAAAACTGCAAATTTTGCAAAGGTGGTTTCCCACTGGTGCAGGCCAGCCACGCACCAAGAATACAAAGTCCAATCCCATGCATCAACTCTGATCTACTGAAGACCCAGGATTCTGTACCACCGCTGTGTTACCTCATCTGCCCCTGCCATCTGCTGTTGGAGGGTGAGACGCTGGAGGTCCATTCCCTTCATATACATTTGGAGCACTTGCTTCACGAAACCTGACATACCCTGAACCTGTCGATCCACTTGTGAGGTGCTTGTGGACGTTGGAGCCAGTGGCCGTGGCCGGATTCCCAGCTGTGCGAGTGTGAGCATCACAAGGGCCACCCAAGAGACAAGTATGTCCTGCTCTAAATCAGTAAGAATGGGTTTGCTGGCCTCCAAGCAAGTGAGTGCCACAGACACCTGCAGGGCACATCAGTGCAAGCGTGGAATCCTTTGCAGACAATACAACTTTACGCTCCTCTCCATAAAGCAGCCGCTAGTGGTGCGCGTTCACGTATGCTGACGGTCGCATGGAGTTGTGCACCACCAATGATGCACAGCAAACTGCCCTGTGAATCAGACAGCCTGCAAACTGGATCTCCAAGATGTCATACTGAAAACAATACCAGCCGAACAGCAGGTTTGCAAGTGTGGTCTTCGTCGCAGGAATGAATGGTGAATCTGGAGATTTGCGATGCACAGAGATGCCACTGACGTCAACAGAAGCGTACACCTACTTGCATGTCCTCGGCAGTGAATCCCTCCAGAAATGCTTCCACAACCGTCTCCACAAGGCACTGTGCAGCTGGCAGCGACTTGGTCTGGCAAGCGAAGAATGCCAACACCAAGGCGCTGGACAGCTGCCGAGCAAGTTTGTCCTGCTCGACAACTGCCAATCAATCAGAAACAGTGCATTTGCCTGCGCAATCGCAATTCTCGAAAGAAAATAACACAGCCCACAAACCGTATCTTTGTCGGGCAGTTCGCGACGACGGTGGCCGCTCCCTGGCCAGGGCATCCACCGTCGCCGCCCATCGTCAGCGGATGTCCTGATCCGCAAGCGACCGACGACGACCAATAAATCAACGACTGGCGAGCAACGAATGAAGAGCAACATCAATGAATGCAGCACACCCGATCAGAACCTTCCATTCGGGGCCCCTCAGAGCCCGATCGCGTGGCAGACCATTCCGAGCTCCCGCCGCGCCCCTTCCTCTTGAGCAGAGACGCCAGCGCGGGCATAGCCCTGACGCCCGACCACGATCGCGGCGGCCTGGACGGATGGGCCGCCCTGCATGCTCGCCGCGGGGGGCTGCCGCCCAGGCACAGCCGCAGGCCCTCCGAAGTGGACACGCCCTCCATCGACCCAGGCGGGGGGTCGCGGTCGGGACAGTCGCGGTCTATGGACCACGGAGCAGCGCGGTACGGTCCTTGCAGCAGGCGGTGAGTGTGGGACTGTGGGCCAGTGTAGTGGTTGGCCTCTTCGGATTGGCCAATTTTTCCAAAAGTTGAGGGTAGTAAGTGCAGTGGTGGCACGTCGGGCGTCCCGGGAAGTTGGGACAGGTTGTCGGGCTGGCCAGAGCGAGATCGGGCGCCACGTCGCCTCAAAACCGCGACCCGCCTGGGACCGGCGCTGCCTTCAGGCCCGATTGGCGGGGCGCCTGGAGCCGCCGCTGCGCGCCTGCCTGCGGTCTCAGCGACGGTGGGCCCCATGCCTTCTCACGCACTGGTCTCCGGGAATGCCACCCAGATATTGGGGAAGACTGACGCTGGCCTGAGGGCGACATTGGGTGCGACCTCCCGGGCGTCGCGCCTCCGTCCCTCAATCAATGAACCGCCTTTGCGAATCGGGAGTGATGAGATTTGCCCGCGTGTGCAGAGCCCCCGTGCGTTTTCCGCACACGCGCCTCCCGGGCCTACCGGAGGGTCCTTGGGCCGCTGCCGATCTGTCGCCCGGTCGCTGCTCACAGGCGGCCAGGCCTCGCTCCTGTCGGAGCTTCAGCGGTGGAAGCAGAGCCTGCCGCGTCGGCATCTGAAGGTGCGGATCCAAACCTTCCAAACTCCTGTGCCGCCCAAAGATGCGACCCTTCGCCGTTGTGCGCCTTCATCACGCCCTGTTGTGGCGAAATCCAACTGCGGTCCCGCGCCTCTTGATTGCGCACTGCGTGATCCTGTCACAGTTGTGGCGCCTGTGTGCGTCGTCACGGGCGCCTCTCGTGGCATCGGGAAGGCCATCGCGCTTGCTTTGGGGGCGTCGGGAGCGAAGGTGAGTGTCGGTCGGCAACTCGTCATTCCGACGGCGTCCGCGACCTGAAGCCACACAATTTCTGCGAGCCATTGATGAACGCTCGAATGGCCTTCTGTGCAATGTTCCCCCGCTGTTCGGAGGCCCAGAGAGAACGTCTTGTCTTTCCTTATGAAGGACTCGTCGGTTGCTTATGTGCTGGCCTGAACTGCTTGCGTGATCAGGTTTCCGCTTGTTCAAAGCACACTTCTGTGACCCTCAGAAACACAATCGAGACCGTCCAAAACATGGCTCGCCATCTACCTGAGCCCAAATTAGGCTCTAGTTTAAAATGAAGCTTGGCCAGCTGCAGCTCGGGGTCTTCAATGCCAATGGAAGAAAGAAGGCACTTCATTGCAAGCATTCCTCCCCCAATGAAATTTTGGTTCCAGCGCTTTCCATGCTGCAGCATATAGAAGTTTCCAAGTGTATTAGGAAGTGCTTTGAACACCGAATTCAACGTAGGTTGAAAAGTTGGTGTCTTACTGCTGTGCAAGCCCTGGGAAATTGCGGCTTCCCAAACTTCGATAGAGGAGATACTTATGCAGCTCCCAAGTCGTTTTGCCGCACATTGCTCTGTTTATAAGAGCATAAGCGGCTGTATTTGCAGGAACACGTTTGCCTTCGTTTGCAAACATATGTTGGTCTTCCAAGGGCAAGAGCAGAATGGATTGATTCTATCAGGGCAGGTTGTTGTCTCATGCTTTATTAGCCTTTCCCTCTCCCTCTCTGTCACTTCATTCATTCTTTGTGCCTCCAGGTCGCAGTGAACTATGTCTCTTCTGCAGATGCAGCTGAAGAGGTGGCTTCAGCGATCCGCTCTTCTGGGGGAGATGCAATGGTTGTGCAGGCGAATGTGTCAGAGAAGGAACAAATAGATGGGCTGATCAGTGCTGTTGCAGACAAGTGGGGAACAATTGATGTGCTTGTAAACAATGCAGGTATGCAAAAATAGTGGCCCCAGAAATCTGAAGCACCAAAATCTGTTGCAATGACCAGCGAAGCTTGAGCAGATGGATGCTTGGCAGCTAGGATATATACCTTGCTGACTGCTCTTTTCCTTACTGGGTCTTAATGACAAACAACTCGATTATTTTGCTTTACTGAGTCCCGGTAATGAACTGAAGGCTGAAGCAGTGAAGGTATAGACATAGCTAAACTGCAAATGTCAGTGCAGTTCCATTACATTTTTGGATTAGGGTTCCCAAGACTCTGCCACTAGTTGTTTGGGTATTGCTATGAACCCTCACGCATGGATAGGAAGATCTAACACACCTTGACCTGCCATCAATGTTGTCATCGTTGTGTGCTCAGGTATCACAAGGGATACACTGATGATGCGCATGAAGCCTGCCATGTGGCAAGAGGTTATTGATACCAACCTCAGTGCTGTCTTTTACAGCATGCAGGTAAGGCCACAGAGGTCGTTCTCATCTTAAACCATGCAGAAAAGGCAACAATGGTCCCCCCAATAGTGTGTTGTCCAGGGCCAGGGCGTTAACTTCTTTCTGAAAAGCTATTTTGGTGTGCTGTGTCGGATCAGTGTATATTTATTGTATTGCCTGTGTTTAACTTCCAGTTCATGGTATTTGCCATTTACACTGAAATTCTTGGACACATACTGCAGTTGCATCAAAGGTTTGTCCAGCATTGGAGTACTTTCAGCCCAGCAGCAAGTTTCACTCATGTCGTGCGTGTCAAATCCACAGGGGGCACTGAAAATTATGGCAAAGAAAAGAAAGGGTCGTGTCATCAACATAGCATCTGTGGTTGGGCTGGTGGGCAATGCTGGACAGGCCAACTATAGTGCAGCCAAGGCTGGAGTGCTGGGACTGACAAAGACTGCTGCAAGGGAGTTCTCTGGAAGGGGCATAACGGTCAATGCAGTGGCTCCAGGTTTCATTGCATCAGACATGACTGCAGCAATTGACTCTAAATACGAAGAGCAGATCCTCAGCAGCATCCCTCTAGGTGAGCTGGCTGCAGACTGTGATTGGACATGGAGGATTTGCAGTTGTCTGCAGCTGATCATTACTGTTTGTGATGCTATCAGTCTGTTTGTCACTTCATGAAGAGATGAGATCTTCACTGTTGCTGAAGATTGGTACCAGGACACACAACGGGCAGCACACCTTCAGGAGTTGAGCACATGAATATGCTTTTCATGTGCTTATGAACGCATAGACACTTGCTGGTAAAACATCCATTAGCAGCAAACCATGTGATTGTTTCAAGTGCATGCATCCTGTTATGCTCATCCTGTTGAACGACGTGAAAGTTTGGGCCAATCACAGGTCATTGTCTTGGTCGATGTGGTACTCACAAAGACAATCCTAGTCCTTGAAAGTGGACACTTCTGCATATGTGCAAGCACATTACATTGAAATCCACCAATGTGCCCTGCAAGAAATAGCCCTTTTGCTATGATGGGTTCATTTTCAAGCTTTTCAAAGTTTCATGACATGCACGACTAAGCTCCACTGCCTGCATGCTGCCAGGGCGCTATGGGCAACCTGAGGAAGTGGCAGGTCTTGTGAAATTTCTTGCCCTGGACCCGGCTGCTGCTTACATAACAGGGCAAGTGCTAAATGTCGATGGAGGAATGGTCATGTAAATAGCACGGTAGTGAGAACTGTCTCCAGAGACACCTGGACGTGCAGCTTGAACAATCTCCATTCCAGGAGATGAGCGGAGAGGACCAGCGAGTGCTGGAGAGAAAGTGGAACAAGTGAAATTGATATTGTTGGCTTCAAGTGGTACCAGCAAGCCTGGGGCAAATCTGACGCCACGTTTTCACACTTGACTGCTTTGCGGGCGTGCTGACATGGGTGCTTGCGTGTCCCGCATCGCTAGTTGGACGGAAAGGGCATCCATGCTTGCTGTTACAGTGTCTTGGATGCTGCTTCGCCTGTGTCATTGTGGATTCTGTGCTTATAGAAGGAAACAATGCATGGGCACTGCACACTCAGTAGTGTGCAGGTAAGCAGCTTGCATATTTCCCAGCAAATGCCATTCTCCCTTCATTCCCCGGCCAGGGGCCAGCCACTTTCAGTGAGTCTTGGCATGCATCAGTCACAAGGAATGGAAGAACAGTTTTCTACCAATCCATCCTCGATTTGTGAAGTCTTTAGTGTATTCAGGAATCCTCTAATGGGCGAACAGCATTTGGAATGAGCACGGTGGCTGTGTGATGAGCTTCAGTGCAGTTTTCCTGCTTCCTTGCACCAAACAACAACAAAGCTGGCATCGCTGCACGATCCGATGGAATCCACCTTTTGTATTTTGCTGGGCTGATTAACGAACTGACACCAGGGTGACAGTGGGCTACATCGAAAGGGAGCCTCCCTTCATCCCAACCAAGTTCGCCACCACTGAAGTCCATACCAGCAGCGCCTTCCTTCCCTGTGTTTGAGATGTCCATTGTCAATACGGACAGCTTTGGATTGGTTTCACTCTATTGAAAAATCGAACATAATCAATATAAAGGGGCAGATGGCAGCCATTGGGCCCTCCTCATTGTGGATCACTGAAAGCAAGGAGGTTGTCCGCTGACAGAAAGAATACCCGTCGAAACCTCCCCGGAAAACCAACCCAGGTTGAAATTGACCCTTGCCTCCTTGAATGTTTGCATAGAGTATGAAGATATGTTAGCTCACGTCCAAACGCAGTCTGGATCAACGGGTTCAGAATTGCTATGGGGCTTGTTGCCAGGAACAGTTTTTGCCGCAAATAAACCTCCACCGGGAATTTCGTGTTTTCAATGATGTCGCGAAGCAAAGGGATAGCTCTGGAGTGCACTAGCTTGTTTTGGAACACTGATCGCCTGGGACACCATCGACTTTGACAGTTCTCTCCTGCGCGCCCCGCAACCCCGCGTTCACAGCCCTTTCGCATGGCATCCCACACTGGTGCCCGGCGCTTCAAGGATCCTTGTGGCTTGGGCCGATGCGCACAGCCAATGCTGGAAGTTCACGGAGCAAAACACGCACATATCAGGCCTTGGGCAAGGCTTTGCCAAAAAGAAACTCCCCGGGCTACCGCCACCAATGGCAAGCAGCTCTCTCCTGCAAACGCTGAAATCTGCGCGGAGTGAGTCGGGCCTGGCTGGCGTGGGCCAGCCCATAGGTCGCGGAGCCGGCGACCACATCGCGAGGCAACGCGTTGCCGTACCGCAAAATGACCGCCAGGTAGGCCATTGACAGCGTCGCCCAACGCCCCGCAACATCAGTCAGAAGCCTGCCAATGCCCCCCCCCAAATCACCGCGGGGCCCGGTCAACATCGCCGCGCAAGACAGGAGTCTTTCAGGACCCTTGGTCTTCGAAAACGCGCCTGGCCTGACGGGGTCCACCAGGCGGCCTTCCCCATATGAAGCAAGTCTGGTGGGCTGCCGGGTTGGCGGTGCCCGCGGCGTTCGTGGTGAAGGTGCTGATCGGGGGCGGCCCAAGGAGGAAGCCGCTGCGACAGAGGACCAAGTGAGGGGATGCAGTGAAGGGATGCGCTCGCAGCCGAGTTCGCTTCGCCCTGCCGCCGGAAAGGCGCAAAGGGAGCGCGAAATGGGGCCGTCTTGATTCTGTCCAATGCGGCCTGTCGCCGGTTTTGCGTTGCCAGGATGTTTTGTCCATTGGTGACCCGAAAGTGACACAGCGCACATATGGCGTGGATCAAGGCAATCCATGGCCACAGGTGACAAAAGAGGTGTCCGGCGTCCTTCAGTCTCAAATTTTCGGTGTTGTCGACAAGTGGAGGATGATCATACGTTACAAGGAGTGGTTTGCCAGAGAGCAAGTTACTTCCTGTGGGAGATTGGAAGTTTAGGACACCTGGCTTTTGCAATAAATGGGTGTTGAAAAGTGCAGACACCAATGGTGTCGTGGGCATTTGGACATATGCGTTTGTGTGGCGTTTGTCGACAGGGAAGATCAGGATGGCTCTGAGCTGAGCTTCTTCTGCGAACGGGTGTGCACTTCCGATAGGCTCCTGAGGAGAATGGGAGGCCTCTCCAAGGTGTGCTGAACCTGCGGACAAGAGTGTGAGCCCCTCATCTTGCGGATTAATTGCTGTGTTTATCTCATCCTGTTTGTGCCTTCGGTTGCTGTGCAGGATCCCACCCCTGGAACATGTGTTACAGTGTGTGGCGTCTCAGGTGGGTTGCATCGCCACTGGGCGCATCACAGCACAGATTTGTTTAGGCGTTGAGTTGCGCTGCAATGTAATGCATTGGTTTTATTGATACATGGCTATTTAAGACAGTTGTGACATCAAGACGTCCACGGAGTTTCAGGTGCTAGACTGGTTCACTTGCTTGCATGCAGTAGATACGAGCCTCCACTATCAACCATAGCATGGCTTTAGCAATCACACACAAGCACCACTCAGTTTGTGGTTAGTAGCATTATGGACTTGTTGAGCTGGGAATTGCATGACTGTGGCTGTTTTTCCCGATAGGCACATTTCTGATCAGGATGTCTCAAAAATCCATCATACTGTGTGTTCATTCGTGCAGCTTGCCTCCACAGCTAGGATGTCAAGATCATATGCGTGTCCTTGTTGAGACCCACATCCATCACTGCACACATAAAGTGTCTTTTTGGCTCTCCAGATGCCGATGCTTGCACAGATGCCTGTCAGCGTGCTGTGTGCATCAACATGCACCAAGTACCAGCATGGAATGAGGCATGTGTCACGCGATGCACCAACGAGTGCCTACGAGGGAGGACTTACTTGTGATGACCAGCCCCTTGAGTTGTGTCTGAACTCCCCACTGGCATTGCCAGAACAAAGGGGTGGTGGTGTTGACAAGGAGGTGTGTGCGCTAGTGTTGGTGCCTGCACAATCCCCTTCAGCCAGGACCATTGAGTGCATTCCATTAGCAGGTTTCCTGGACTGGTGCTATGGATGATTGCCAGCCATTGGCAATTTTTCATTCCTGGTGCTGTCAACTTTCTTTTCCATCGAAATTGTCTTCCAATGAGATGTGATGCAATATCATTAATGATATGCAACTCGAATATTCCAGTTGCATATAGTGGCACATGCAACAACCAGGAGAGTTTTCTGGTGTGAATGGCAGCATTGTTGATGCCCTGTTGTAGGCACACCAATTTAATTGCCGGATGTAAAGAGCCTGAGAGTGTATGTCTCAGAACGAGGCAGTTCGATGTCAAGAGTGGATTCCATGATTCCACGATCAGCATTGCCATGATTTTTGTGAAGTTGCTGCAGTCTTGCAGCAGAGACAATTCGAACAAGTGAAGCATGGTGACACGAGCATTGGATTAGAAAGCTCTCTGTTTCTGGGCTTGCCTGCATTTTGACCGTAGGTCTTCATGCTCGCGGCTGCAGTAACTTTGGCCAAGTGAAGAATAATACTGTCTAAGCTTGCAATTCAGATGCATGCATAGCAGGTTACTTGCGCTGAAGCATTCAAAAAGCCTGCCGTGCACAACAAACTCTGCTGAATGGCTTCACAGGCTGGGCTGAGGCTTTCATCACTTTCATCTTGTGTTGGCTTGTGGACAAAAAGTAGCGTTTGGACACTAATTCCGGCTCCATTCTAGCACGATCGTGGTTGGCGACCCGTGCAGAGATTTGCTAAATAATGCATACGTGTTTTACATTTCCTACACTTCGTGGCGCCTCAGTACTGCACAGGTGACTAGCACAATTCTACCCGAAATCGGTACCCGCTCCCTGTATGCTTTTGCTCGCAACTCTCTAACGTTCTCACCAGGCACCTGAGGCACGCATAGCCGTTCCTTTGCATGGCCCTTGAACCCGTGCACCAGTGTCTCACCTTACAGGTGGATGAGTGAATAATATGAAAGGTGCAGATCGTAAAAACGTTCTGGGATGTCGGCATGCCCGTCATCGCCTACAAAGCGCAAGGACACAGCGTGGTCCTGTCCAAGGCAATGTTAAAGCATTGCAACATATCCCATTAAGTAATTGCTCCCCTCTTGACAGTTGTAGAGGTCGTGAATTTGCATATAGGCCAAGTGTTGCGCAATGCTGTGGCCCCCGATCTGAAGAAAACTTCAGGCATCGCACATGAACAAGGGGCCAAGAAAGTCGTGTGCATTGGAGTGGAAATTTTGGACTATTGTATGTTATTCAAGCATCTGGTCCTGTGCTTTGAACGTCATAGTTTTACCAACCGCTGTGCGCCCATCACAGTTCTCGATCTACAGCAGGATAAACTGGGATTAGTGCTGCCGAGGATGATTCACATTCTGTGCTTGCCAAAGGCAGAGATATGCCACGATGGTCCACCCTGATGACCTGCTTGATGTGGGCCGTTGTACGAAGGTCGGGTAGAGCACAAGGGGCAGCTCATGTTCTGAATTGGCTGAACGCTGTGACTTGCAGATTTTGCGAACAAAGCCCACATTTAGTGCGTTTCTCTACTGGCAAACTGTACAGCCAACCTCGCATCTGGACGGCGTTCTGCGAGGATCTGCAGACCCGTATTGCTCAGCAAGGAAACTTACTTTTGGAACTGTGTGGATCCCAAGGCATATGTGTGTTCCACCCAGTTAAGATTGTGTCATGTTTCCATCAATTTGCTCTTGGTCACCCTGCCACCAAAGCGTTTGTCCCCTCTTTTGCTTGTCACC